CGCAGGAAGATCAAGCACCAAAGCTTCCGACGAGCCGGTGGAGGAGTCTCAGGCAGTTCCGCGATGTTCTGTGCATCAGGTAATGTAGGGTACGGAGGCAAAGTTGATACGGGATCCTTGTTGAAGGAGGAGGAAGATGATGCCGCTGAGGAGGAAGAGGACGAGGAGGAGGAAGAGCAGCAACAGCAAGTGCCGGGCAAGACCCGCCGCGACCTCAGAGCAATCAACAAGCAATGATAACTACTAACTTCTGTGAGTGGCTATTTCTTCGCCGAGGCTGGTGCTGCGACTAGACTTTTTTGCTTGAACTTGTATGCACGTCCGTGATTCTGCCCTGCGCACATGCAACATGTGCAGGGGAGCCCAAAGACAAAGTGCTGGCTTAAGTCGCAGTTGTAGTCAGCTGAGGCTGGGCTGACGTCGATTCGGATGACGAGCAACTCCTTCCGAAGCCTTTCTGCGCTTCTCGTGTGCGTTCCAGCTTTGCGTCTGCATGAGCTTGACAACCCAGGAGCGCGGATGAGGATGTTGGAGACAAGGAGAAGGCTTCTGAGGAGAACGCCGAGGAAGAGTGGCAAGAGGTTTGGGGCTGATGCTGATGGCTGTCCGGTGTGCTGTCGGACAGTGTTTTGCAGTATGCGTGCTGCATGGGGGTAGCCAGGTTAAAAGAGAGAGGAAGGCGAAGCCTGTGAAGACGGAAGTGGCCAATGCGGCTAGGTGCCCTGATGTGCCGAGTAATCTTGCAGTTCATTCGGCTGTTGCCTCTGCGCAGGTCTGAAGCCCGGCCTCGCGAGAACCGCCGGGATGGCCGCAGGGACGATCGCCGCCGGAAGGACTTTCTAGTACCGCAGCATAGCACAGCTGGAGCAAGAGCCATTCCATCAAGCTAGTGAAGCGTCTAAGCAAAGCAGAAAGCAGCTCAAAAACCTCAGCCGGGAAGTTTGCGCGGCTCTGTTCCCGACTCTTCCAGAGCTCCCGATGCAATATGACAAAAACAATTCGAAGCACTGATAGCTTTTCCGTTTATCTGCTCACCTGCGAGTGCTGTGCTGTCGTTTGTCATTAGGGCTTCAAGGCAGTCATTCCTGGATGACGATTTGCCCGACATTTTAACAGTTACTCTTGTTGTGTGTCTTTGGCTTATTTAATAAATCACCTTGATGTTTGGAGAGGACAATCCTGCGAAAATGGGCCAGAAGGCTCATCTTTGCTGGGGGGAGTAGAAAAGAGGCCGGTACGTTCTCTTCTGACAGAGTGGCTCAGGACTCAAACGGCAAGGAGGAGGGTCAACCGGCAAGGAGCGCCAGCTGCGAGCAGTCCCAACTCTTCTGCCACGTCTGCTTGGCCATGCTGTTGGTGCTGCTGGTACAGGAGGAGGCGAGATGGCGACAGAAACGCGCGGGACCGCCGACGAACAGGCAGAGCATCATCTATTGGTCTAGCTTCGGCGTGAAGTCCAATGCAATACCTAGGCAAAGCTTGAAAACAAAGTTCCGCCTGCTCTACTCTAGTAGACAGTCACTCAGTAATGTCCACTTTGCATTGCAGCTCCCTGATGTCTCTGCATGACAGCTCTGTTGTGTTGAGACCTGTAGGCGGAGGCGAACACGCCCCTCGTCAGGTGCGGCTATCCTTCAGACTGCCTTTGCCCCGGAAGTGTACCTTTGAGAGATGCCTTGCAGGACAACGCAAGGAGGAAGTCCGAGGAGGCTAGGACAGCTAGGATGCTTCAGTTGTGCAAGAGCCCAGGCACTTCTAGGGGAGCTGCCCTAGAAGGCAAAGGCATAGAATCCGGAGAGTACTGCAGCCAGGCAGTGCCCCAGCAGAAGGAGCAGCGTGGATCAAGAGAAGCAAGGAAAGAGAGCAACGGGGAGAGCAGGAAGCCAGCTGACAAGGAGGTTCGGGGTACTCGCGAGTCGGACGCAGCTGTAGCTACCGTCCTTCCCAATCTTTCGCATCCTTATCTACGTTGTGCTCTCTCAGCTTCACATCCTGAGCTCTGCCAAATTTGATGCTCTGTGAGTGGCAGGGGCGGAAGCCCAACGATGAGGCTGGCAGGCCCCGTGGAGGAAACAGGAGGCTGGGCAGTGGGAACGAACAGTTTGGATGGGCCATGCAAATTTCTTCTTGGTGTCTTCTTGTCTTGCCACAACCTGGCTAAAATGCAGAGGGAAGCATCATAAAGTAGGAGGCTTATGTTGCCGGCACCACTTGTGCAGGTCTCAAAATGGTGGTTCCCGGCGGAGCCAAGGTCTCAAGGCTGAGGCAGGACTTCAGAACTGTCTGGCCCAAAACTGTAGCGTTTGCTTGAACACCAATGAATTCTTGCCCTACCTCAACCTTCACTTGAGCTTGCATGCTCAAGGAATGGTTTGCAAATCGGATGAGTGCTGCGACTTGGCTGCAAGCTCTGCATCAGTCGCAATCTTGAAAAAGATCCGCTTCATCACGAGTACTAGTAACAACACTTGTGGCAGTGGTAGGATGGGGGAAGTTGCGGGGTGGTGCTGCTGACTACAGGTGGAGGTGGGGGTGGCGGCTGCAGCTCTTGTCGCGTGTGCTGGTGGTAGTGGTGTTGGTAGACCTCGTGTTTTTGAGCGTTTTCCTTTTACTTGTAGCAGCATATGTGCCATAGTCTAAACTCCTTACAGGGCGGTAATATCAGGGATTATATGGGGGACTACTATAGGGGTCATTAAGGTGAATACCAGGAGTTTAGACTACAGCTCATATGATAGCGTTTGACGCGCCCTTTTTTCGTTGTTTTGCATGCTGTGGTCTCGGCTTGCACCAAAGCGTGTCAACTAGATAGCAGATTGACCTCTACATAGAATGTCGCAATGAGGCACATCTCCAGTGAGTTCCAGAGACTTTTGAAGGCTAGTTGCACCAATTTTGTTTTGTAACTTCAAACATGTGCTTGCTGCCGCATGTAGATGTAAGGCAAATATTTTCCGGAAGGTGATCTTCCATGTTTTCAAGAAGAGAAGAGATTCCTTTCAGTACAGGACTGCGCTATGCCAAGCCTCCCCGTGCCCGTGTAAAACACTGTCTTTCTGCGCTTCCGCGCAAGCCTAGCGGCCAGACCACTTCAGACACTTGCCGGACATTTTTGGAAGATGTGTCGACAAGATCTATGAGGAAACATCGGTGCATGGCTGATGATGAGGCAACAAAGGAAGAGGACAAAGATAATGATGGAGGCGGAGGTGGAATCGGCATCGGCATCACCATGATGATGATGATGATGATGATTATGATTATGATCATGGCAGATGATGATTATGATGATGATGATGATGATGACAGTGACCATCATCGCCATCATCAGCGAGCAGTAGGACTGATCGCAGCAGCAGCAGCAGCAGCAGCAGCAGCAGCAAGTGGAGGGTGCGGCAGCAGCAGTGGTGGTGGTGGTGGCGGTGGTGGTTTCAGGAAGAGGTTTCACTGAGAGATGGCAAAATACAGCATTTTCGGGAGACGCCAGCAGCTAAGCAGCGATGTATTGCCGGCAACGGAACTGGAGCAGATTGAGTTTTCGCGCAGGTGGAGGTGGTGTTGATCACTTGTCCGGAAAGAATTTCGACTGGCATGTGGCAAGCTATAATAAAGCTAATCCTCAACATCCTCAAGCATACTCCCAAGCATAGACAGAGTCAAGCATAGTCGACCCAAAGCACCGAGGTAGCTTGACAGCGGCGGCAGCACCACTGGCTCGCCAAGAAACATTTGTTTAAAAGGTTTGCAGCGCAGGCATGCAGCTTTCCGTGAGAAGGGCGTAATCTGCAGATTGCCCTTATGTGAATCTAGAGTTTTTCGCACTATGTTCTAGTACTACGGTTGCAGTGCGGTTTTCGCCCTGTACATTTGGTTTCACTGGCTGCGCCACTTGCGCACGTCTTTGGCGCTCTGAGTTTTTTCGGGCAATCAAGCGGGAAGCCCTCAACTGAGTGAGATGACTGCTTGCCTGCCAGCGTGCATGAGTGTCACACCTCATTGAAAGGAACTACTGGAAATTTGTGAAGCTGAAGGGATTGCACCAGCGGGCTCCTCCTTTGACGTGGGGCCCTGAAGATCCTCAACTGAAGATGACCCCAACCTGGTCTGTGAATTGCCTGAGACTGTCTAGCTCTAGCTGGATGGTAGTGCTTTAGCCTTTTTGTGCATGTGACGAAAGCTCTATCCGCAACCTTGATACCTTCAAGCCACGTACCAAACGAGGCGACTGGCGGATATTGCAGAATTACATATCCAAGAGAGCAGTTCGGCTTCCCATGCTGGAATTCTTCTGGTTCTGGTCCAGATTCCTGAAGTTCTTGGCTAACAGAAGTTTAAGAGATACGTCGTGTCGCGTAATAGAATCGAATTCTGAGCACGAAGTGAGAATTGACCCAGAGTAAAGAGACTGCAACACAATGATGACGTAAGACGAGGAAGAGAGCACTGTTAGAGAGTAAGCACAAGCATGAAAATTGCAAACACTGTGATCCAAATACGAACCACAGAGACAGACGTGAGAATAAGTGAAAACACAACAAGAACACGGTGATAATGCAGCAAACAGATAAACCAGGAGCAAGGCGATAATGGAGTTGAGAATAAAAAAGCAGAACATGAAATGAAGCTGAGAATAAAGTGAAAGCAACATCGCAGAGGCGAGATAAGGCATAATCAGATAAACATGAATCGAGAAAACAAATAAAGTTGCATTCCGGGTGGACGCCTGAGAGGGATGGAAGGAGCTGGGAATGGGACAGAGCGAGGGTGATCACGCATGTTACGAAGCTCCGGCCATTCCTTGCCTCTCCTCGTATCTTGTTGATCACAGTGACCAAATGCCAGTTATTAATGATGCCGATGATTACGATGATGCTTTTGGGGATGAGCTAGTTTTATACTTTTCCAGGGAAGGTATGGGTGGGATCATGTGGACGGAATATTCGGTCCATCGTTCTAAATGTACATTTGACGTGCATTTCATGTTTATTTAATGCAAGCCTCATGTACATTGAATTGTTGTAAGCTTCAAGCTCATTTCGTGTACATTTCATGTATATGTCATATGGATATATAGATAGATACACACGTTTCATGTACTTTTCACACGGTGCCTCCCATATGCAGTTTTTTCAGCTAGGTCAGTTTACGTTTCATTTTTCATTCGCATTTCATATACATTTCATTCACATCTCATCAACATTTCATCTACATTTCATAGACGTTTCGTTGACATATCATTAATTCTTTTTGTTCATTTCCATTCTTATCCCATTTCGGTCGGAATCGTGTTACACATAATTTTCATTTCGTTTCCAGAAAATGCATGCAATGCAGGTGCCACTTTGACTTAGCGGATTCATATTTCTGAAGTCTGGCGATGTGTTTTTGGGTGTGATGTCGGGGTGTTGTGCACTTGATACCGAGCATGACTTCCTGCTGTTTTTTTTGGGAGTGGCTCGTAAGAAGTATGGAGCCTGCTGGCCCGTTGCAGACAATCAAGGCAGGCGCCAAACTGCCTTGGATTTAATCACGTAGGTTTTTTAAGCCACGTCAGATTCGCAGCTCAGCAGTTTGCAAAGGACAGACTGTGACGAGGCGTAGGTTTGGCCCACAACTTGCCGTCGCTGAGGCGCAATGAAAGAGGATGAAACGGGAGACTGTAGCAATGAGAGTTGTGGGCTGCCAGCAGGCAAGAATCATGACGAGCAAAGGTTTTGCCCAGCTGAATGAGGCCAATGCTTGTCTCTGAGCTCGGCAGATGGCTGCCAAAATTTGCTGCGTTTTTCACAAGCCCAGCAAATTCTAGCAATCCATATTGCTCCTCGGGTGTTGAAGCTGCAAAGATGGAGCCCTTGAGCCAGCCCAACCCGAGGGGAATTCTCCTGTGTCGCATGTCTGTGCGATCGCTATGAGGTTTCAGTTTGCTAAACAAGCATAGGCCTGACGTGCTGTTGGGTGTGAAGTTCATTATAACATAGTCGTAGTCGTTGTATAGAAAGAGTGAGAAGGTCCTACGTCGACAAAAGGGGGCGGTTGAGTTGCTCCAGCAGCATGGCTCTAAGCTTCCTGCTTGTTTCTCTCACGCAGACTCTCCTGGCAAACTTGCTGTTCCTATGAGTGCGTAGTTGATGTAGTTGTCACGGACAGCGCTGAACGAGGGATACATTGAGCATATTGCTGCAAATTGATTTGAGTAAGCCCACCATCGAATCTCTACCGGCAAGATGCCAGGTGCAGGACTTTTGAAATTGTTTTCGCCCGTGCGCAAAACGTACCCCAGAACTCAAGACCTTGGAAAATCCATACTTGTCTGGGGAGGGCCGTGTAGCATCAAAAGTGTGAAGAGTCAAACCAAGCTTCATGTAATGCTGGCTCCATGGCCAAAACCCTTGAAGTTTGAAACTAGGCTGCTGGAGCCTAACAGACCGTTCAAAACAATGGTGCAGGCTCCATCAGAGTGTCATGTCTCTACCAGTATTTCGTGTTTTTTGAGGCATTTGCAGCATTGGAGGAAGAACTACAGCTTGCTTGCAGTTTGCCTGGCTGCTGAGAATTGCGCAGTCCCGGTCAGTTGATTTTAGATTGCAGGCAGCTATCCTAGCATTTTCTCAGGTGAAACGA